CCAGCATACAACCCCTCTTCAGAATAAGTTGGTTTTAAGGTAAAACATTCTCTGACTTAGTGTCCAATCATGCCATCCTTTCATCCCACTTCCTTACACCTGGTTCTTTCTTGCCCTGTTGACTCTTCTCTACAAAACAACAACAACAACAACAACAACAAAACCTCTTTTTGCATATTTCTTGAAATCCTTACAGATCTTATGGTCACAGTTGCAATAATATGCCTCCCCCTATTTTAGAAGTCCCTTTCCATCTTTGCAATAATTCTTTTTGAAGAAAGGTCTCTCCTTATTGTGGATGGAAAAAAGGATCCTGTGTTAAGAGTGGGGAGTTGTAACCCACCCGACCATTCTTTTGACATTGTTTCTGTACTGACTCTGACTAATACAGAGCATAGAGATAAACAGCATATTTGTATAAGAATTCTAGGAACTAACTTCAAAACATAAAGACTCTGGCCTTCAGTCATTCCAGTTCCAGGAGATTTGCTGACCTCCAGATGTAAAACCCACTAGACCATCGCTTGACCAATTTTGAGGTCCTTATCAGAATGGACTCTGCTGATCTGTATGTAGAGAACTTTTCAACCCCCTCCGCTTGATCTTTTTTTCTGCTTTCTGTCTCCCTCCTTATGAAAACTTATGTCTGCATGGAGATGTGAAGATGGTTTTTGAAGCATGAGCCTGCAGTTTTCTCAGGTTGCCTGCACATGAAATAAAGCCATTGTCTTTTTCACCAGCACCTGTCTCGTGAGTTTGGCTTTCATTGGTGGTAGACAGCCAGACCTGCATTCAGTTACATATAGACAGTAACCTCACAAGGGTCATCTGATCATAAATTCCTAACTGGGCAGGTCATGGTGAGTAGTCAAAACCCAGGCACATAACCTCTGTACTAAAAGGCTTATCTTTGCCTTAAGCAAGCTATGTCCATTCTTTCTGGGCATCTAGATTAATACACCTTTGAAATATCCCATTTGAGACCTTCCTTTCTAAACCCTGAGCTTAACTATATTGTAATCCAATTCCTGCTTTGCTTTCTCCCACCTTCATATAATCTTCTGTAGTTTCCTTCCTTCATCTCAAATGCATAAAAGAAACTTCAAAACTGTTCTCTGAAGCATTTGAGATCATGGTCTCCAGCAACTATCCTCAGTTTGGTTCAAATAAACTCTTAAAAAGTATTCTCTACAGATTTGTACATTTCTTATGTCGACATTCCTAAATCTGGATTTATTTTTTATTTTACTGTTTTGTGGAGGTGAATTTTTGAGTCAACAGGATAGTTTGTTTATAATTAGTTCTCCAACACATATATATGTTCAAAAGAAAACCACAAGCCTGTGCTAAAAGCTATCATACCAAACCAATATTTAATACTTGACCTAACGAAGTTATAACATTTCCACAAATATAATCTTAATCCACCAGTCTGGAATTTTCTGGTCAAGCACCAGTAAGATAATCTGTCCTGTGAGCCCTTTCCATTCCCCAAAGGAAGAAGGGGAAATGTGCATGATAAAATCCTTGCATTTCTCTTACCAGAAAAAGATGATTTCCTGGTCTAAAATTAATGTGTTCTTTTCTATTGTCTATAGCCCCCTTGCCTCACCCTTATTCTTATAAAAACCTTCCATTTTGTACAACCCCTGGGAGCACTCTTCTACTTGATAGATGGGATGCTGCATAATTCATGAATATCTTAATAAAAACAATTAGATTTTCATGTTTACTCAGTTGAATTTTTTGATGCATATACTGTAAGGTAACCATTGGGTTGACAGTGCCTCACCTTTGTCACAATATATTGGTTAGAGGTAAGTCATAGGTCTTACCTACCCTCAAGGATGTGAGTACACAAACGCATGATCACCATGGGCTGGGGATTCCATGAGATTCTGTCTGCCACAATTCACCCTCCAAGCCCTGATGTTTTATGCCCCTACCTTAGGCAAAATTTATTCAGTCTCCCAAGACCCCCAAAAGTCTTGTTCCATTGCAACATTAGCTCAAAATCTAAGTCTCATGATCTAAATCAGGTCCAACTGCAGATGACAAGGCTCTTGAGATGGGGGAGATCATTAAGCATACCAGATGGGCACAATTGATGCAGGCATTCTGGCAGTCTGGGGACCCCAAGGTCCATACATGACTGTGGGTTCTTGGCTTCCTACAGGAAAAATTTCAAATGCAAATCAGCTTATTGTTCAAAGCGAAAGGGTTTAATAGTGAGGCAGTGAGACTGGGAGTGGCTACTCCATAGACAGAGCAGTACCTCTTCAGTGGGAGTAACTTCTTTTATGGAGGCTCCTTTAATCAAAGGGTAGGGCATTCAATAAAGGGGAGGATATTCAGGATTTCTCTGGGAAAGGGGTGGAGACTGCTGGGAAGAGCCCCCATCAACAAACATAAGTTGGGATGCTGTAATAAAGGGGAGGACAAGTGATTCCAGACTGCCTATATCACAGGAAACAGAGTGCAGCCTCCATAGGACAAAGTGAAGAGCTGATAAGCATATGAGGTTGCAATTTGTACATAAGGGCACACTGGGAATCTCTAGGGGAAAAGCGCTCTAATGCAGGACTTGTGCTGGCACCTGGGCAAAGTCAGCTCCCAAGGAACTGTGCGGTGAAGGATAGGAGGATACTCAGCAAATGAAGCCCATGGACAATCCTGTAATTGTGCTTTATTGTCATAGTCACCTTCTTTTATCAGGACTGTTTTTAGTACTTTCATAGGAGAGTTTCGTTTTTTAATTGTCTGTGGTATATCTTGGAGTAGTGAAAAGAATAGTAAATGAAGAGACAGAAAGTCAGTCTCAGGCTAGAGAAGCAGAAAGGTGTGAGCTCTAGAAAAATTTGGACCAGGGTTCTAGTATCAGCTCTTTTACTTAACAGTCATGTGAATTTAAAACTGCAAGTTATTCACCTGCAAAATATGTCTGATAAGCTTTATTTTGTAGGACTGTTGGGACGTGCACAATCAATATAAAGCACTTGGCAGAGTAATTGGAAAATATTAGCTATTAAATGAGTGGCAATTATATATGTATATATAATATATTAAAAATATATGTGTATGTGTATATTTTTACCACAAGTGATACCACCCCACTCTGTGGGGAGATTTATTTTTCACTAATACAGGAGATGTCAAAGAATATGCAGCTTTCTAAAACAATACCAAATTCACCTATAATGCTGCTTAGCAAGGAAAACTAAACCAAATGTCCCCATTTGAGGAGAAGTTTGTTAATTTGTACAGGGGGGAGTCTTCTCAGCTGGATGCAACTCCAAGGTCCTAGAATTTGTGTCAAGGGCCAACTGCCTCCCTCCCAGGTGTCTTTCCATTATCCAAACCATCCTATTTTTCAATCTTTTCATCATCACCAGACATAAAGCCCTCCCTTAGGGTTCACAAAAGTACATTCAAGTTAACCTTATTAAAATACCCTTTTAATGCACTGAGAGCTGGCTCTCCCTCCCAGTTTAGGGAAAAGAGAGCCAACATCTTAACTTCTAGGCATCCCACCTCTAGGGAGCATCACCCTTACTTTTCAGAAATCCCTTGAAGACTCTGTACATAAAACACCTTGATTGTACTCTGCGTACAACTGCACCTGAACATGACCACAGGCACTTTCCTTTTCTGCCCCAGCAGGAGGTTTTCCTCGGATATATTGATGACAGTAAAGGTAACTCTTGAGAGCAGGTTTCTATTTCAGGGTTTTGTTCTTCCACACTGAAAAACACCTGTCTGGCCTCTGCTCACCAGTCCCACAGCCTCATATAGCCGACCACCCTGCTTAAATTAACAGTATGTCCCACTAAAGAACGTGTAGTTTCCCGAAGCCCAAACTGCCTTTCCTCAGATATTTTATACCTTATTGTTTTCATCCAGACACCCTCTCCCTCCCACTTCTCCCAACCCCTTCCCTGCCTCTTTATCTCCTTACGCCTTCTCACTTGTCCTTTACTTCTTAGAGGGTATTTCACCATCCTCCCTATATTGTGACTGCTCCCTGAGTGTGGAATTCTAAGGGCAGGAGTGTTTTATATCCTAGTTTCCCCATTTTAAAATTTTCTCAGGGTAATGATTTTTTTTAGATTCTTTATTGTATTTTTCCCACTTCCATTTAGTCACCTTATCACTCCTCCCCTACCCCAACCTCAATCACCACACTGTTGTCCATGTCCATGAGTCCTTTTTCCCCATTTCTAACATAGGACTTTCAAAAAGCAGTTGCTTAATATTTGGGGAATAATGAGACAGTAGGCATGAGTTCTAGTTTATAAACATTTTATTCCTCCTACATTCTTTAGCAAGCTAAGGAAATCCAGGTATGTAGCCTTTATGTTTATAGAACAACATACTAAAATGAATAAGGGAAACCAAGAACTGAACACCTTTCACATTTCACCCTCTATTTTTGATCCCAATAATTTTACTGCTATATTTTTTTCAACTTCCAAGGAAATGCCTATGGAAATGCCATGTTTGGTTTTTCTAGTTCACTAAATATGCAAGGTTTCCCAATTTGTTTTACAAAATAATAAAACTCTTAATCTTAAATCTATTGAACAAAAGTAAACATGTAACTGAAAATCATTAATAAATTTAGATTCTGAAACTAAACCTTCTTCTATTAAAGAATCAACATTTGAAATGTAACAGAAGGAAAGAAAGAAGAAAAGAAAAAAAGATAAAAGTCTAAAGTTTACCACACTGAATAAGAATACTGTGCTCCTGCCAAACCCACCCTGGCCATCCACTACTTAGAATGTTGACTGCTCTTTCCTTCCACAAAGAAAGCAATCTTCCTCGGATGTCAACATTTGAAATATAACCTAAAACAGAAAAAGAAAAAGGTCAAATTCCAAGTTGCCAATATACAATAAGAACATAGAGATGACAGAAACTCTCCAGCCCTATCCTGGCTCTTCACTATTACAATGCTGACACACCTCTCCAAGCAAAAACTGAATAACTTGCCTCAGACTTCACTTAGTGTGGAAGAAGCAGCTGGCCAAGGTCCTAGAGGGTACAATGGCAGCGACACGAGCCCTGGCTGCAGCTCTGGCTAGGACTCTCTCTTCCTGATCCCGCAAAGCTTCTTCATACCAGAGTGGGAAGGCAGTGGGGACGGTATCATAGATCTTGGCTAAGAACTCCAAGACTCTCATCTTGGTGGTCTCAGCATGGGCTCTTGGGCCCCACAGGAACTCATAGCGTGGAGGATCACTGTTGGGTATCTGGCGGTACTCCAGGTAATTTAGCTGCACCAAATCTTTAGTGATGACCTTCTTGGGCTCCCCATAGAGTAAGTGAATCTTATCAGCATGGACACCCATCAAATTCAGCACTTCCCAGACAGCTTCCTCAGAGGCACGATTGCCATTCATGAAGATCACACCCAGAACAATCATCAGGAGGCCAGTCTTGGGCATGTTCTCTTCACTAATTGTTTCATTGCAGGTGAACTGTAGCTTGCTGACAAGGGCATAGTGGTGCCTGATGGGATCCACTTCCTTCAAATCAATACCAAAGGCCAGCTCCAAGTGCTCAGAGGCTCTCCTGATGATCTCATTGAAATGAAGCTTGTATTTTTTTATAACAAACTTCAGCATATCTTCCTTTGTAATTGGCTCTTTAGTTTGATACTTCTTTAGCAGGAACTGTACCAACAAAACCGCCTTCTTGTTTAACGGATCTCTGCGAAAGCCCTCAAAAGCTTTGGAGGATTCTGGGCTTTCTTCATCTTGTTTGCTGGCACCTTCACATGAATTGGTGCATGAAACAGCTGCAGTAGTATCATCGGTGCTCGATGGGGTTTCCTGCAGCTCCTTAGGAGTGCTAGGTGTCTCAACAGCAGGCACATTCTGAGGACTGCCTTCAAGGACAGCCTGGAAAGAGGAGTAGTAATCTTCTTCCTCTGCTGCAATAGCCTGAGCACCCTCCAGATCCTGGGTCTGGGTCTCATCATGGGCCTGACGGGCCTGGCGGCGTTTCTCACGAGCACGGAGCTTACTCTTCTGACCTCGGGGCATGATGACTCTGGTCACAGACAGCAGATAGGAGTTCAAACAATTAGGTTGATGAACAGGTCACCCTACAAGACAAAAGAAGAGATGGTATGTACAGTCCCAGTAGGGAGAGTTTAACTTGGGTCCAAAAAAACTGCCACTGCTGGTTCCCTTAAGGGTACTGTTTTACAAAGCCACAGACAGGAGCAGGAAAGATTCTGGGGACCTCCTCGGTTCTGTGGGGCTTGTTGCCTCAAATCTAACTCAAGATACTAAACTTGAGTCTTGACCAATCCTTTGACTCTTCCTGTTCATTTGAGGCTGCTTTTTCAGACCAAGGCTTCCCATCCTACCAATTACTTAGGTGGAGGTAAGGAGGTGTTAGGTCTAACAGCTATATTTGAGCCATTTGAAGTGGACATGGGGGCCATGGGGGGTATCTGAGTAAGACAAGCTCTGTGAGTTGTGGGATTGCCTCAGTTCTGAGACAAATATGTCCCTCAGTTCAAACAAATGTTACTCATCTCAACAGCCATCCAATCTTGAGATTCTACCCTTTGTTGTTGTGAGGCTGTACCTCTCACCTCTCGGACCAAGGCCTCAAGCTCCAGAGGTGATGCGGTGGAGGTCTGGGAGAGCACTTGTGGCCACACCCACACCCACCCCAGTTTCTTAGTATGAACTTTTGGAGTAGAGTTGGGGGGATACCACCACTCTGTCTCTGGGGCAAAGGAATCACCCACAACACACACAGGGGTCTTTCTTGACTCCTAACAAGGCCTGGGACTTTTCCCCCTGGGGACCTGAGTGAACTGGCTCTCATTATTCCTCAAATCTCCAACAGGCAGTAAACTGGAACCTGAGAATAGCAGCCATGCCTGCAACATCCCAAGACTCACAGTAGGGGGCTCTTTGTGGCCCCTCATTTTCAGTTGGGTTCTCCCACACATCTGCTGATGTGAGGCCAAACTCAACAGGTAAGGCACAAATGTATGAATAATTTTAGCACAATCAACATCTTTACAGTATTATGCTCACCATAAATAATCATAGTATACTTTCTATTTGAAACTTCTTTTACTTAAGTCTATCAGTAATATTTTTATATTTTCTTCCATTAAGATCATGCAGTTTTGTTCTCTTGTTATGTATATTTTTTATTTTGCTGCTGCTTTGAATGATATATTTTCAATTACACACTCTAATTAAGTATTTATTTTGTGTGGCAAGACTCCTGATTTTGCTATAGTCATCTTCTACACCAGCTTATTCAAGTTCATTATACATTTGAATATTTGGCAGACAATTTCTTTGGAAGTTTTTTTAAAAGATTTTATTTCTTTTTAAAGAGAGGGGGAGGGAGGGAGAAAGAGAGGGAGGGAAACATCAATGTGTGGTTGCCTCTCACACGCCCCCTACTGGGGACCTGGCCCACAACCCAGGCATGTGCCCTGACTGGGACTCAAACTAGTGACCTTTTGGTTCACAGTCCAGTGCTAAATCTACTAGGCCACACCAATCAGGGTGGAATTTTTAATTAGAAGATCATATTATTTCTTTTTTCAAATTTTTATTAAATTATTGGGGTTATATTGGTTAATAGGATCATATTATCTTTCTTTCATTATTCATAACTTTTATTTTGTACTTCGGTGCATGGATATACACTGGCTGTGCAATCCAGTCCAAGTTTGAACAGGAGAATTAATACCATACTTTCATGTCTTGTTTTGGACTTTATTGGTAATGTGTCTAACATTTCACACTTATATATGTTTGCTGTTGATTTTACAATATGAAAATTTTGTTCTGATGTAAGTTTTCTAAAAGGTATTACCATGAAGTGGTGTTGAATTTTTATCAGGTATGTTTTTCTTTATTTCCATACATGAGCAAATGCTTTGTATTCTTTGTTAACATAATGAATTTCAGTTCTTTTTGTTGGCAAAACCACTTCAAAGGTGACACTGTAATTTCATTAGGAGATACATAATGTCTGTTTTTTCTTTTGTGGTGATATTGGCAGTTATTGAGGATCAGCATTGTCATCTGACAATTCATTAGGGATACCTGAATTGTAACTCTCTAATTCTATCATTCCTTCTTAGGTTATTAGCTGAAATATATCTGTAGATAGAACATTCTGCTAGTCTTCATTTTTTCTTTTAAATTAAATTTATTGAGTGATATTGCTTAAAAATTATACAGGTATCAAATGTATAATTCTATGATACATCATCTGTATATTGCATTGTGTTCCCAACTACCCAAAGTTAAATCTTCTTCCATCACCATATATTTGACCCGCTTTACTTTTTACTACCTCCCCTTCCCTCTGATAACCACCATACTGTTATCTGTGTCTATGAATTTTTGTCTGTTCTGTTGTTGTTTTCAGGTTTATAGCCCACATAAGTCGTATGGTTCTTGGCTTTTTCTGTCTTACTTATATTGCTTAGCATGATATTCTCAAGATCCATCCACATCACAAATGACAGTATTCCATCTTTTATTATGCCTGAGTAATATTCAATTGTATATATGAACCAGATCTTCTTTATCTAATCATTTATTGAAGGGCACTTTGTTATTTCCATGTCCTGGCCACAGTGAATAATGCTGCAATGAACACAGGGGTACAAACATTTTTATGAATAAATGTTTTCAAATTTCTCAGGTAGACATCCAGAAGAGGCGTTCCTGGGTCATATGGTAACTTTATTCCTGATTTTTTTTAAGAATCTCCATATTGTTTTCTATATAGTGCCTGTACCAGTTTACATTCCCATCAGTAGTGAACAGGGTTCCTTTTTGCCCACTACCTCTCCAACACTTGTTACCAATTTTGTTGATAATAGCCATTCTAACAAGTGTGTAGTTTTGATTTGCATTTCCCTAAAACTAGTGCATCTTCTCATATATCTTTTCACATATCTGTTGGTCATTTGTATATCTTCATGGGAGAAGTGTCTGTTCAGATTCTCTGCCCATTTTTAATTGGATTCTTTGTTTAGTGTTGAGTCGTATGAGTTCTTTATATATTTTGGGTATTATTTTTATTTGTATTGATTTTTATTGCTGTTCATGTACAGTTGTCTCCATTTTCCCCTTGTCAAAGCTATTGTTTGCAAATATATTCTCCCAATTCTTTTGTTTGCCAGTTTGTTTTGTTGGTGGTTTCTTTTGCTGTTCAGAAGCTTTTTAGTTTTATACAGTCCCATTTATTTTATACAGTCCCATTATACTTTATACAGTCCCATATAAATGGGACTATATGTAGTATACAGTACACTACAAAGTGACTGTAATTCAAAACAGCATGGTATTAGTAGAAAAACAGACTCATAGACCAATGGAACAGAATTGAAAGCCCATAAATTCATATGTATATGCACAACTAATTTTTGACAAAGGAGCTAAAAACACAATGCAGAAAAGAAAGCCTCTTCAATAAATGGTGCTGGGAAAATTGAAAAACCACATGCAAAACAATGAAACTAGATTACAATTTGTCCCCATATATAAAAATCAATTCAAAATAGATCAAAGACCATGCAGCTTAAACAAATTACATAGAAGAAAACATAGGCACTGAACTTATGGACCTTGGTCATATTGTTTCCTTGAAGTGAGCCTTACAATTGCTCCATTTTATTACCTAGAGAAGTAGATATATAGATAGATCAAGAAATCAAGGTCCCAAGGAGGGGCTGGAAAGAAGTATTCCAAGTCATGAAAGTCAAGGACGTACATCCAAGATGACTCTATCCAGAAATGCTATCATTTAGAATGGAAGGGCAGATAAAGTGCTTCCCAGATAAGGTCAAGTTAAAGGAATTCATCATCACCAAACCCTTATTATATGAAATGCTAAAGGGGCTTATCTAAGAAAAAGAAGATGATAAAAAAATATGAACACTAAAATGACAAATCTGCAACTATCAACAACTGAAGCTAGGTGGTGAAAGACAAATACCATATGATCTCACCTTTAACAGGAACCTAATCAACAAAACGAACAAGCAAGCAAAATATAACCAAAGACATTGATTTTGAGAACAGGCTGACAGTGACCAGAGGGAAGAGGGGAGGGGATTATAGGGGAAAAGGGTAAAGGGTTTACAGGAACAATTATAAAGGCCATATAGACAATAACAAGGGGTGGGTGGAAACAGGGGAGGGAGGTGGAAAGGGCTGGGGTGGTGGGAAAAGGTTGGGGGAAAAGGCAGAAAACTGTACTTGAACAATAAAAAATGTTAAAAACATTAAAAGATTAGGAACAAATAGTAATGTTAGATGCCATTAAAATAAAAAGTATTGACATAAAAAAACAACTGAATCTAAAAAACAAAAACAAAAACAAACTAAGCAAATGACTAGAACAGGAACAGAGTCACAGAAATGCAGATCACATGGAAGGTTATCAGCAGTGGGGGGAAGGTACAGGGAATGAGAAGCATAAATGGTAAGTACAAAACAGACAGGGGGAGGTTAAGAAAAGTATAGGAAATGTAGAAGCCAAAGAACTTATATGTACGACCCATGGACATGAACTAAAGTGGGGAATGTGGGTAGGAGGGGCATGCAGGGTAGAGGGGAATAAACGGGGGAAAATGAGACAACTATAATAGCATAATCAGTAAAACATATTTAAAAACAGAAATCTAAGTCTCTCTTTGTCTAATCACTATCAGAAAACTCTTTAGCTCAAAACTGTACACTTTTATAATTTTAAATAAGAAAAAATGTAGTTTGAGAACTAAATCAGTTTATAACTACTTGAATAATTCATCTGTTATAATGATTATTAATAAGCAGCATTGGAATTATTAATATTCAAGCACTAGTCTTTTTCATATGACATGTTACTTGTGCCTTCAGATACTTATAGATTTGGAAAACAAAGAAAATTTTACTATAATTTTTTCCAAGCTAGTTTTCTTTGAAGTGATAGAATTTCTCTGTTCTTTCTATATAGCTAACCAGTCAGTATATCAGTTGAATTTAATTTTCTCTTTATAAAT